AAAGTCACAAATTATATATATGAATTATGAATATGTATGACATAGTTAATTTCAATAAAGGACGCATAAAGGACACATATCACGAAAGGTAGCCCTTTAGGGGATACCTTGAGTTTGTCTTGCGAAGCAAGTGTTGGGACGTCCGGGTCTAATAATTGATCGCTCAATTCAGACCCCCCCCCCCCCGCCCCCTTGGAATTGATTTTTCAATACAGACCCCCTCCCCTCCCCTCCCCCCCTCTAAAATCAATTCTCTCCTGGAGAACATCTTCGTGAGCCTCTCATGATTTCAGGATAGTTGAAACCCTCTTGAACATTCAGAAAGAGTGAATATGAAATTCTAATCACGAAAGGTGTTCCCCGAGGGGATACATACCTAGAGTTTGTTTTGTGAAGCACGTCAATTCTCTCCTGGGGAGCGTCTTCGTGAGCCTCTTATGGTTTCAGGATAGTTCAAATCCTATGATGTTCCGATTCAATGCTCACCGATGATCTGAGCCATGGGGCAAGTTTGTTTTCCTAAGAATCTTTTTGAACATTTCGAGAGCATATGTTTGAACATTTAGAGTGCATATGAACATATATTTACGAAAGGTCGCCTCCGAGGGGATAAATCACCATGTCGAACATTGCATTTTTGTTCCTGCCTCTCGCGTTCTCTTCTCTTCCCGCTGTCCTACCTTTCGTGTCTCCCTCCTCTCAAGTACTATTCTGTCATACAAGACCTTGAGGGGAGCTGAATGTTGGAATGGTACCCCTTGTCTCTACTAAATCATGCCCAAACCTTTCAGGATAGTATAGCGGTTCGTTTCATTGGTTACAGTATATTGTGGTATCAAGGAGTTGATTGATTTGATAGTGAATCTATGTGTCGTGCGCTGAAGTTTGGCCGCACCGATAGTTTCTATAGTCAGTGCATAGAACCCAGTTTAAACACAAAGTGTTACCAACATTGGTTTGGTGGGTGCCCTTTTCCGAGCTCACACCAAAACCACATAAACCCCATTTGAGAAGGAGCTGTGTGGTACTTTCGGGGGCTTTGTTGGTATCGCCCCAGAGGATGAAGACCCCTGTGAGCTCTTGGCTGGAAAGATTGGCCGAGCCAGGCTTACGAGTCATGTATCTTTGGAGTGGAAAAGCACCTGTTGGTACGGGGCCATTGGTTTGTTTCATGAGCTTTTTCTAAGGCCATTAGCCGCCATGATCTACTCCCATCATGTCGCGTGCGTTGGAGAGAGTGTGTGTGTGTGTGTTTTCGATGAAGGGGGGTCGTGTGCGTTGCCAAGTCGTCTCGCGGCCAAGGCTGAAAGAAGTGGGTGGGGAACCTATGAAGGATGATTTGAAGGATGCGATGGCCACTTGGGATTGACCTAGACATGATACACAGACCTGACACCTATTCCAAAGTAGGTGAATATGCCAGTCCAATGGAGTGCTTCAGTGAAAATTAACCATGCCGGATTCACTTTTGCACCGCGCTGGTGCCCAAATGCCCGAGACATTTGCGGATCATTCTTTCTCCGGCCATGCCAGTAGTTGCATGCAATTGCTAATGGCATCTAATGGCCACTTGAAAACAGGCCCATGTTCGATCAAGACGGAATTGGGTTGTTCACACGAGTTCACATGTAACAGTGTAACACGCGCTTGGTGTGTAACGTCTCAACGCTACCGTCATGCCAGAGCCCGGCACGGGCTACACCAGAAGGACTTCCCACGTTTCTCCCAGCTGCGGCCGCTTCGACCAGAGCCGCTGCGCTTCTCGCGGGCGCGAGCGCCTCGAGGCTCAACTGGTGAAAGCGGTCCGGCACCTCCCACAGCGGAAATGAGGCGCTGGACCTTCAGGGCTCCCCACGGTGGAGGTGTGCTGTATGAAAACCGTCCATATTTGGTGTTCAGTGTTCGAAGACCGGGTTTCGGAAAGGAGGGGAAGGAGGGCGGTGGCGGTGGTTCTGAATCTCGGAAGATGCGGGTGTTGGGGGAAGTGACGAAGCCTGGTGAAGCCCTATCGTCAATAATGGCTGCACCGTGCTTGGTAAAGATTGCTTGGTAAAGACATGAAAAGACACCGTGCTCGGTGGGTGAGGGACACCGTCGCAGCATGTCGAAACACGCTGATTTGCGCCAGACAAGTTGTGGGACGGGACTGACATACTAGTAGCTGGTGGTTGGTGGTTGATTTCAGGGGGATCGATGATCAAGGTCAATGAAGGTCCATGATCATTGCTTAAATTGCTCAGGTTCATGGTCTTTTTGGGGTCCAATTCCTCGCATTTCCAAGGTCCAAGACCATAATATATATATATATATCCATATATGACCATATTACACAGCTATTTAGCATTGTTTATATAAACCAGGACCTTCAAAGTGACCTCTTCCTGCTTCGAGGTCCTGGTGTGTATATATATATATATTATTGTCATGTATATATAACTAATATATGTAATTATAATATATATATATTAATCTGTCTATTTATATATTATTGATCCCACGATGCTTAAGAAGGCCGAAGATCCTGCGCCACGTAGTGCCTGAGCGAGACATGATGTTCTGAGCGAGGGTGTTTCGTAGTGGCCACCACGTCCACAACGAGTAGCATGGCCGGGTCCCTTTCACAGTTCTTGGATGGAATGAAAGAGTTGCCCTTAGGCAGCAGTTATTTTGGAGTGGCTTTCTCAGCTCAGCAGTTATGTACAACAAAAACATCTACTTACCGCCATAATAATGCGCACAAACAAGATTACGTATACTCCATATCTACCTACCCAGTCTTACTCTTTGAGGATCTAGAGGTTTTGTGGCCTTTTGGACATGCAAAAGCAGAGGGCCACTTATTGTGCCTGATCATTTCGGCGTGAAGGGACGGGCTTCCGTTCCATTGGTCCATCGGCGCCCTTCTGAAGTCCAGCACAGCTTACGAAAACAATCATCCTTTAGGGTGAACAGTGGCAAACAGTTTGACCATCTATCCGTGGGTGGATGAGACAATCGGCTCCAAACACACACTTGATTGGACGTTCTTTATTGTATGTCCATCAGCAGGTGGACAGCCTGGGATTGGGTCATGTGACTCCCATAGACTTTTGCCGATGTAGCCAAGCTACACCTCACGGCAGCGTGTGCTGAGGGCGTGAGCACAAGACGAAGGGAAGCACTGTTTTGAAGTCAGGAAAGCTGGTGGAGCACGGCATGAGAGTCTTCTATAAGTGACCTTCTCCTTTTTTACCTATGAGTGACCTTTATAGAAGCATCAATTATTAGGTACAGGTGTGTTTCTATGGCACCATGGTGGGCTGAGACTGAGAGATTCCCTGACCGGTCTAGCCATGGACATGGAAGGGTTACTCAGGGAACACCTGCAAAAACAAAGGGTTGTGGTGAAACAAGTGGTGGTGGTTGTGGTTGTCGTCCTCGTATGTCCTCGTCATCGTCGCTTTGGCCGTCGCCACCATCATAGTGGTTGTGGTTGTTGTTGCTGCTTGTGAATGGTCCATGGTGGCTGGTTGATGGTTGTATAGGTGAGTTGTGGTTGTTGGCTGTTGATGATGGCGGCTATTCCCTTTCCCTACCCTCATAGCTATACATTATGATACCCCAACTCCCTGAAGTGAACTCATCAAAACATGAACACTCGACGAAGACCCTGATGGATGGTTCTCAAGCTCAGAGCCTGCAAACGCTGGAGCTGGTAGGATTTGGGTGCGTCCCAGCAATCCAGAGCAATTATCAGAAGATACACATATGTGACAATGTGTGAGCATGTGTGTTTGTATGCATGTGTATGTATGTATGATTCACCAAAATATCATAAATGTAGCAAACTATGATTCTGATAGATAAGTGTAGCAGCCACAATAATCGTGATGATGAGTCAGAAGATCCTCGCCATGCCTGCCGAGTGACCTTGTAACTTCCTACAAGCCATCCTTCTTGCAGCTTGAAAATCAACCCTTCGCAGAGCAGAGCGCCTCGGTCAGCACGCGACACCTCCTTGCTGTCCGAGACTTGGCCAAGAAGTGATCTGAATTGTAACTTGCAGTATCTATCATTGTCTCCTTTGCAGTATCTACTAGTGAAGGAGATTTGGTCAATATGACTCCCCATCGTCTACCTGCAAGTGCTGCTAACAAACAGCCGGATTTGTGTATTTTACATGCAGGACAGACCAGTTGACAAATACAAGATAAATAAGTAATGCCCTTCAGCATGTTCAAAGGGACAAGTATTTGATGCTAGCAGGGGGAGCTGAGGGAGGCTTTGGTGTAGCGGCTCGACCCCCCCCCCACAACTTCTGACCTGACCAAGCTGACACGTCCACCTTTCATCATATTGTATTCTTTCTTCCAATTTCCTGGCCTTTGGCTTGTACTTTGCGGAGAACCTGTCACCAATCCCTTTTCCGTCCTTCCTTTGGCTTGTACTCCCTTACCATGAATTCCAAGACAGATGGTCCACGACGTTTGAATTTGGTTGGCCGGGTTTCGGACCTGAAGCTGCCTGACACGCTGACTTGACGCAAAATGCACGGACCTGTTTGAGTGGATTCGAGGTCGACTACCAGGTACACCACGCACAGCAGTTGGAGTCGAATCTTCGGTTCTCGCCTTGAAATCGAAATCACCGCGGTTGGCGGCCTTTTTCTGGTGTAGTTCCCCATCACGGTCAGCATGGGCCCCTTGAAACTGTTCCGAAGACAAGGGACAGATCTGGATTTTTCGGTGAGCTGAGGCAACTCTGCAAACAACCTTTCAGCACGCGGAACCCTGTTTGAATCAATCTCTACAGGACCATACAGGACCCCCATCAGAAGGGGCCACACAACAAGTTCCATTGAGTCGCGCACCTGTATAAGTTTTATTCTATAAGTGTTTGTTTTACCAATCTTGGGAGTTTCTCCTGAGATGCGGGAGCTTCAGGGCAGAAATCCGAACACAAACCTGGGCCTGGAACATCAACAATTCAAAAGGCGTGCAAGTGTGTCCAAAGACTGCCAGGCCCACAACCAAGACATCGAGAAGAAGCTCAGCTTCTTGAACTCTCGAAGGCGGTGGGTGACATGAGTGACCAGGGCACTTCTCACAGATGGCATCGAACCTTCGACCCCGCGCCGAACCCGCGCGGTCAGGACGGGCGACGAGCCGTGCGAGGGCGCCAGCTGGAGTCAGGAGCTGGACGCCTGGGAGCCCAAGGGGAGCGATTTCGGATGGCACTGCACTCATTTGCACTCGATCCTTTGAAGTCATGGCAGTGGAGTTGGGCCGCCACTTTCCATGATTTCAAGGAGTCAAGGAGCATAGGCACGGTGATTGTTCTCACGAAGTGGCTATGTCCCTCATGAGACGGGGGTTGCAGGTTTCCTTGGGAAGAGTGCCTTTTCAATGTATGTACTTGTATGTGCTGATTTTTTCTAGGTAACCCCTATGAAAGATGGTGTGGTAACCTGAGAGTAACCTGAGAGCATTCAGAAGATGTACACCAAGGCGGGGCAGCTCAGGAGAGATGCCCTCACCACATGTGGAAGAACTTCCACAGCACCTGAGATTTGAGATGATCATGATACACCTGGATCTTCGAAACGGCACAAATAATTGCCTTGTCAAGAGAAAAGGACGAAGGACGGCGTTTGTTTCTTGTGACCAGCAGAAACCGGCAGAAACCCAATAGAAATGGCGCCTCTTTAGGTTTCCCCACTCAACAAGCGCGCTCCGATCCGCGGCGCTCGATTGATGGAGGTTTGTAGGTAAGAATAGATCGACATGTATTTGTACAGGTTTATTTAGGCTTCCAAACATGTTAAATCACGTTATTCAATTTGCGTGTTTAGGCTTCCAAACGTGTTTGCAACCCCTCAAATCGGTATTGTCTTTTTGTGATGGCGTCTTTTCACTGAAAAATGTCTCCGGTAAAAATGCGTGCCGTTTGAAGATCCTGGTACTCGTGCATATATATATATATATTATATATATAAATACTATATATATATACTGTATATATTATGTTCATTGACTTCACAGGACTCAGGACCCTCCAAGTCACCAGTGGAGGCCCAAAAATGGTTTCGCGCCCGGGAGGGAGGACCACGGACATAGCGGCTAGAGTCGGCTAGACCGGCGCGGCCGGGGACTGTGGCCAGATGATTTCTGTAAGGGAGAGCCCCAACAGCAAACTGCTTGCGAAAGAAACATGAAAGCGTGTAACGTCAAACGCTCCAACGTCCGACTCCAACATGTTCTTGACTCGACCTGTGGAATGGACCCTAAAACCGGCGTCTGGATGGACGATGAGTTGGCTTCTCACACGGCCCCGTTCCGCTGTCGTGCTGTTCGTTGGCTTCACTGAGGCTGTGAAGTACGACGTGGGGGAGCTGAAGGAGAGACGCAAGACCGACCGACCGGTCTAGCGTCCACAGGGATACCCAGGGCGGCTGGAGAAGGAACGAAAGAGACTGAAGCATTCATATACATGCCAGGGCATCCAGGCAAACCACTGACTATAGCTGGGAGTCCCAGTGGTTCCCAAGACTAACACCATAGACCTAATTAGAATCCCTGGTTCCTTATATATTGGTCAAAGATGCACTGGGTGACATACCCTCCCACCAACAAACATGAAATTGGACAACTCCCAGCGGATGTATGCGGACTTCACGTTTCTTCCAGCACTTCTCGTTTTCTTCTTTCAGGTTTCGGGTCACCAAATTTGGGTCACCTGAAACAGGATCAAGATGGTTACCTGGTTTAATTGGCACAAACTGTGAAGGTTCGGACCGTTTGGATCGTGGAGATGCCCACATGGACAGCGGATGGTGAAGGGCCCGCTCCAAAGGACTTGCTGGGCGGAGCCAAGAGCGACACGGCACACGTGAAGCGGATCGTTTTGGCCTGTGAGCGGGACATGGAGGAGCGGACGGAAGCCGAGGGAAGGTGGGCTGGGTAGCACCAGCTGATGTTTAAAGATCATTAACTATATATAAATGTTACATTTCTACACATGGCAAGTCTATGTTCACTGCGAGCTAGGAACTGCCAGTTTTTGCCCAAATGGATAGCGTTTGCTGGGTGTTGCGTTGATTCTTGCACTGGTTGCAGTCCAAAACCAAGGACGGTGAGTGGGGTGCACCTTCGACATGGTCACGGGCAGAGCAAGAGAACTCGATCACCTCCAACATTTTGACTCTTAAAACCTATACTGTATATTAATTGTGTTTCCTTCATTCAAGCCTCATTCCCCCCATGGCCCCCGCATAGCAGCAGACCTGTTCATTCTGGGGTCTCAAGTGCTTGGGCTTTGCTAGCTCCAGGAAATTGCATTTTGAGTTTAAGATGTGTGGATTTGAATATAAAATCGCGCTTCGCGTAGACTAAGAGTATCGCGTAGACTAAGAGTATCTTCACGATCTCAATTAACATCAATCAATTGTGATAGCATAACCCAGGACCCCCAAACTGATCTCTTTGGAGTCTCTAGGTGACCTCTTGAAGCACTTAGAGGCCTCATTCTGGGATCTCAAAAGGTCACTTTGAAGGTCCTGGACGGTACACATTGGGAGTGTTTGGTACATTTGCCGTAACACTCACCGTTGAGTTTGACGAATGTCCGCAGGACTTCACTGCTGCCATGGATGCGGTCAACATCGACCTGGATGAGATGAGAGCCAGGGTCCGGATGCTCGACCGGGCGGCTAAGAGGGTGGGTTTAGAGGGTCCAGTCATACCTTCTGAGGAGGTACTTGGCAGGCGTAGGGACTGGCAAAACACAGGACGAGAGACACAGGCGGTTTCCAATGGGCATTCCAACCAAGAGCCTCCATAAAAGGGGCCACCTGCGACGTTTCAATATTGGCTAAGCCTCCGGAAGCCTCCAGAGGAGACCTGTTGGAAGGTTTCTGGAAGATATGGTGCTCAAAACCCTGGCAATCTAGTTCGCCAAACGTTGGCAACGATGGACAACTGTTCATCCCCAACGAAGGACAGTAGATCTACTGTTGGATTTGTTCAACCCTCCTGTCCGACAGCGACCCCTCCTTCAGACTGAGTTGTACCAATGGCTGACACGGCGGGCGGCCATCCAGCCCTGGCCTGTTGAAACGTGGAGAACCTGCAAAAAGCTCAATCCTTTTGCTGAATGGGTTTCCACACCAAAGAAGAATAAGTGGAAGAAGCTAATCTCTAATTGTCAGGGATCTCCGGCGTCAGGACCCCTTTGCCGCGGAGCAGTCTCACAAATGACCTGCGCGCGTATGACGAGCGCCAGACCTATCCCTATCTGGTAAACCTAGCTATGTTCTAGATATTTCTGGGCTTGTGGCTTAGCCTAGGGCTCCAAGTGCCTCCTCAGATGGTATTTGGACCCTCTAAACCCACCCCAAACACCTTCTTAGAAGGCCCTTGGAGCCCTAGGGTTAGTGTACTTGCACCTCAAGCCTGCCTCGAAAAGCTTTGGGAAGTCTCTTTGCACGCCAGGCGGGTTGTTCTTTGTTTCGCTCATCAGCACATGTGCTTTTGCGGGCATTTGGCGAGGGTGGTTCAATCTAAATGGGATGTTCCTAGTGGTTGTCCTTTGTTCATCAACCGAATCTACATCTACCCCTCTCCCGAACACATCACATGGAAGTCGCATTACTGGTCCGGAAGACTACGAACTCCATTTCTATGTTAGTGAGTGGGAGTGTACGTCTGTAGTCCCTATAGGGTTCCAACCAGATCCTCAGAAGATAGACCCCCTGGCAGCCACCCCTGGCCCACCGAACCAAACGGAGGGGGGGGGGGCCAGGAGCCCCAACCACCGGGTGCCTTTGTCGCTGGGAACCTGCGGATCGGCACCGGCATTTGATCGAACCAGGTGGATTCCACTCATTCCATCATCACCTCACGGCAGCGCGTAGAGGTGGCTGTGCAGCACGGAGGTGGCTGTGCTTTGAGGAGATCGTAGCTATAGCGGTATGATGCGGTATACCAGGACCCACAAGGGGGTGGTTCATGGACACCCCGAATCACCTCTAAGGGGCCATAAATAGACACCCCAAACCGGGGGCCCTGGTATAGGTTATTTGTTTTGGTCCATATGTCAGTGGTGGACCTGGGAGTCAGGTCATGTGAGACATAAGCGTATCAGACAGTCTGAGTTTGGAGGGCTTTTTCGCTGGCCAGGCGCCAACCTTCTGGAGTTACAGGGCCTACAGGGTCCTTCTTTGGTGCTAGACATCAGCATCCAAGCACGACCTGATCCGGCGATTCTTCTTAAAACGCTACAATCAGATACCCCAAGACGCGCGTCCTGCAGTGATGCGAGGATGCGTGCAAGGGTGAGAGCATGTCAGAGTTGTGTTGATTGATGTTGATTGCTGCGTGCGTTGAGGGTGACGTGCTGGCATATATGCACATATATGCAAAGAGGACAGTATACTGTTTAGATATGTATTATATATTAGAATATATATATAATATATAGAGGGGGCATCTCATTAGGAACAACTATCATCAATTATCACTATTTTACAGAATTAAAGGCCCTTACTAAGCATCCTCATCCACTGGGGTCAGGTAATGGGATACACCGTCTTCTGTCTCTACGTCACCCAACCGTGTCTACATCCGAGGCCACTGTCACTGCGGAGATCTCCACCATGCGTTTGGACATGGGAGACATGCAGGAGGTGTGGACGTCGTCTTTCCGCCGAGTCATCCCAAGCGTGGCGCCCCGGCGACGGTGGGAGGTGGGAGGTCGCCCTTTGGGCAGGTCCGTTCCGACCAGAGATCGGCGTGATCACCTGAGGCGATCGCCATACACTGAGATAGAATACTTCAAGTGATGGTCTCTTCCCAGATGTGATTCTTGGGTGATTTGCGCTGTGATTGTCTCCCCCCCCCAATCGTTGGCTTCGACAGCCGGCCTTCGCAACTCCGCAGCTTCCGGCGAGCGTCCAGCGGGAGCACGACGCTAGGCGTTGAAGGCGCATGACGCTTGGATGGAGGACGTGTCCCAAAGTCTCCAAGAGGCCAACATCGATTGACCATGACGATCCGTGACCGGGCCGGTCACGGGAGCGACATCCGGAGATAGTCGAGCCGGGAGCGTGGAATGGATCGTGCACCTTTATGGATGGATGGATACTGTAGTAGATGAGCACAAATGTCCAAGTTGGCAATCTAAGTTGGGTGGTTTAGCAATGGAATTCCATTTCTTTAAGACATGTTGGGGTGCCAGATGGTGCAAGTGCCATCAAACCTCTTTGCACCACTTTTTGAAGATGCTGTGCTGTTCGAAGTGTGAGAAAAGGTCCCACCCTGCAAGGCCAGCCGCAGACTGGCAGAATCGTGCACCAAACTCTTCGATACCGTACTTTGTGAAAAAGATTGTGGACTCTTCCCTCGGCACCCCAAGGGCATCATTGCTTTCTGCAACACGCAGCCCAGCCAGTCAGTGGATAACCTTGCGCAACCTTTTGTGGGGATTGGTTTCCCCACTGCCACCCAACAGGTGGAAGAAGCATACACCAGGAGTCAAAAAGGGGTGGTTTTTTGTCCCTAAGTGAGTGGACAATGGCATGGGCACCCCTGACCTCCATTAAGCACTCCTTTGTGACTGCTGGTATACATACATATATATATATATATTATATAGTTATGTGTTTATATATATATATAGCCACCGTCACTGTCACTATATTTCAGGGAAACTTGAGGGGCGGCAGGCAGCAGATCTGCGAAACCACCCAGTGATTTCTATACTCTCAACTCAGTGTTCCTCCTTAAGAAATGCCATGTCCATGTCCTGAATCATCCTGGATCACTGGGAAAGCGTGGATTGCCTTGTGGTGCCCTGAAGCAGTTGGTGTTCCGATTCTATTGCACATATGGTGAAGAACAAAGACTAGAGAGGCACCAGAGGACTCTTGCATATACTTGCATCCTTCCATCAACTAATGGTCAATCACCTACTATGCTCAGTAGGTCCATTTCGAGCACCTGCAACCACTCGCCCTCCAGACATGCGCTTCTAGACATGGAAGTGGGTTTGATGATGTTTGACGAGTCTCCTTTACAAACTGTAGGTTGAGAAACTCCTGTTAGCCAATGCCGTGGACACACCAAACAGATCATGTTGTTTATTACATCGATGCTGTGGCGGTGGAGGTCTTATCCGTCGAAGCATCGAACGAATCGTGCTGAGACCGAAGCAGGTGCACGAGAGATGTGAGGCTTTGAATATGGAGATCACGCAGGTGAACCACGGCTTTCAGGCGCAGCAAAGCAGGGTGATGCAGGGCAATGCAGGGGGCAGTCCCAAAGGCATGAGGTGACTGCCCATTGTTCTATAGATGTTTGTTTGGATTCAGACTCTGACCTAGTGAGAAGGGTGATTGCTCTTATTTATATAATCCGCTTCTTTCCAAAGGGGCCTTGGCAAACACGTTGCTTCTCTCTTTGTCTCGATCGCGCAGAGCCAGAAATGGTTATCAGATGTTCTAAGTTGTTCCTTTTTCCGCTTGTAAGATAGAGACGGAGCTGTAGCAGGGGGCGCGGCTTAGGGGCACATGAGCTCACCAGCGTAGCTCGACGTCGCTCCAAAAAACGATCGAACGATCTGCGACTCTGGGGCCCCGGGGAAGCCACGTGTGGCCTCAAACTGGAGGATCTTGGAGGGAGCATGAGGGACCTGCCAGTTGGATTGAGAAGAGGCTAATTTCTGAGCCTTCAAAGCACCCAGTGCATTGGGATGCCGGTGTCGGAACGTGCTGGATGTCGGATCGGCACCGAGTTGTGGTGGATAAATGGATTGATCACAACCATATAGGTACCCTCTGGTACACTCCCAAAGACACTACATGGGACTTGCACAAGAATTGCTACTGCCACTGCTGTTTCAGGGTCCCTTCTTGAGAGAACAACTTGAGCTGGAGGCAAAGTTGGATGCGAAGACCGACATCACCAGCTGGAATGATATGATGCTTGTTTGAGGATTCCGAGGAAGTTCCCACATGCGTATGTCCGAACATTTTGTACACTGTTGCCATATGGAAGTTCCACACATGACTGTTGTGTTGAGCAATTGTGTGGATGTTTTTCTTTTTCTCGGGGGTTACCCACGACATGATACAAACTAAATAGTAAGTTATATATATTAATGATTTTGTGCTTCATACATTTTTGCAGGGTCAATCTTTCCCAAAAGTGCAACCAAAAGTGCAACACTGACTTAAACTGACTTCATACCACAAGAAAAGAGACTGATTTTGACACAGGCAGCTAGGGAGATCCACTCATGTGGAAACGCATTTTATGTTGACTCTGAATGATCGACCCACCTCCATATGGAGATGTGAAAGACCAATGACCAATGTGATTCGCATATGGTTCCTGAATCTTTTGCATGCGTCTGTCCAGTACCCAGCATGGTCATGTTCAAAAACCTGAGGCACACCAGCTTTCTGTGATAGTCCGGCTCTATTGGATACTAGTCCGGCTCTATTGGATAGTGATAGTCCGGAGACATGTTTTTTTCTGTGATAGTGCGGCTCTATTGGATACTAGTCCAAGATGTGAAAGTCGATGCAGCAATTTGCTGCTGCTTGTCTGCTGCGGACCGGTGTAGTCCTCATATGTTGTTCACTCTCGAGAATTCTGGGTTTGCTGTTCCTTCGGGATGTTTGCTCGTAGAGCATCGACCGGTAGAGCATGTGTTCTTGTTCGTTGCAGATTGGGAAGCCACAGTCGCTGCCCGGTTCTTCAAAACTTGATCCTTTGGTTGGTTTGGTCACGAAAAGGCCTGTGCGTTCGGTCACTGGATGACACTCCAAAAAGGACACTTCACTTGTTCCGAAGCTCTTCAGCTGGTGAAGGTTCGCTGTCTTCCTTCATCGACCTGTGACCTGTGTCATCCACCCAAAGCACGTTTTTTGGTTCGGAGTTCTTAGCAGAATTCTTTCCACTTCGCTTTTTGGGACAGTGAGCTGTCCTCTTTCTTGAGGGAACCCCCGGGAGCAACGCGGTTCCGCTCCGAGGAACGACGATGTCGATGCTTCCATTCGAACAGCAACCTGGTGACACCGGAGTACGGGAGTACGGGAGCAGAGGTATAGCTTACTTTTTACTATTATTTCAGTTTTTATACAGTTTTATTTGTATAGCGTACATATATAGATGATCATGACAGTTTTTACCAATTGTGATCAAATGTCTTACGCACTTGAGTCTACTACTGTAGAGGTACTAACCTGTCATCCACTAGAATGGTCCCCGTCACAACTATGTGTTACTTCGAAGTATTTTGAACCACAAACATTGACTGAGAAGGATTTTCAGAATCTTTGGGGTCACACCCAGTGACGCCGACGGGCCGACGGCCAAGGTGAGGGACATGGCATCCTCCCTACGCTTTGAGGCGCGGCAGCCAAAACGGCGCACCGACTTGCAGAGCTCACGTCCGTTCGCATGAGGAACCGTTCGGAATCTCACCTTTTTGTTGAAACGAAAGCGGATGAGGGAAACCCGTCTGCATCCGCGGTGTCCCCATCCGGAAACTGGCTCAGGTGGACAGCCGCCGGCGTCGAGTGGATGAGGAACCGACTGATTGGGTGGTGTGATTGTGGGAGGTGGAGTCCAGTGTCAATGTTTCTCAGTCTCAAGGCGACACTCAGACAGGCTTAAATTTCAATTTGATGTCCCTTTGCATCCTATTGACAGCCTCATCCCTACTTCCACTGTCAACAGTTTAAGTTTTCTAAAAACGCATGCACCCGTGGACCTTTTGACTTCATGCTTGTATATTCGTGGAGCTTGGTTGTTGGTTCCCTGTTTCATTCAGTTCGTCCAAAAAACAATAATGCGAAACTAGCATGATTTGGGCCAACTCATTTTTCCTCGGAGGAACCCGCCAAGCAAAGTCACACCCTTCAGAGAACTTCCAGTTTCAGAAACATGAAACTGTCTTTAGCAGTGCCTATAACTGTACTACTACAACTGTTTTGTGTTCATTTGTTGTTTGTATCAGGGAGGTGCACATCCAAAAAACGTTCAACACCAAGCACTACCAATTGGCAAATCAATCAAGGTCCACACAATGTTGTAAAGAAAAGACGCCATGCCTAATCAATAGAAAACACAATATAATCACACATGCCAGGACATGCCAGTACCCTCCAACAGGTCACCACGTGCGACTTTAAAAGTCCCCAAAAGCCACCAGAGAAAACCTGTTGGAGGGTTATTATATATATATATATAATGGGTTATATAGTCTATCTACCAGCACCTTCAAAGGGGTCACCTTCCTGCAACCCCCACACACTACTTATATACATTTACTTCCTATCCAGGATCTCCGGACTTCCCTTGTTCAGGTGTCAAGCTTCGTTTTCCTTGGGTCGCTTCATGCGGTGGTCTCACTCCAAAACTGCATGTCGTCGCGGTCACAACCACGCGACGCGGGTTGGTCCCGCGGTCGACTGCTCGACCCGATCCGAGGAGCTGCTGCGGATCCGCTCCGAGGTCTCCAGCCTGGATGAGAAGGCAACATGCGAAACCAGCAAGAAGACACGTAGACCGCGACGAGGTCCCGCGACGCGAAGAGCGCCTGGGTATACCTGGATCCTCCTTTGGGCGGAAAAAAGTGCCGGACCTCAATCCGGCAAATTTTTCCGCCGGATTCCGAAAAAAACGCCGGAGACCTGAAAAAACATCCGGATCCAAGATTCTGAAAAACAGAGATGATAAAAGGCTGGATCATACACAAGCAAACTGCCTTTGCGCCACAAGTAGTTTTTTCTGGAACACACTCATTCCACAACCCAGCACTGGAGCCTTCCCGTTCCCATTGCCCTCGCCCATCTTCCGAATGGCCTAAGAGCAGAACCAATATAAGCAAACTTGTGCCCAAGCAAAGACTTCCAAGAAGAAACCAAGGAGTATGTGGCAAGGAACCCCTATTTCTCTGCACCCGTGTCTCTAATTGTTTTTTACAAAGTGGCTCTCCATGATTCTTATATAGTTTTAAATTGTTTTTTATTGCTTGCCTCAGGACGGCCCCGCCAATAAAGTAGCAGCACTCATGGTTCCTGTCGAAACTCTTAGTTGAAAAACTTTTCAAAATTCAAAAGACTGAGTCCAACAAAATACGCCGGAGTTACGGGAAATTACGCCGGAGTTACGGGAAAAAACGCCGGAGTTACGACGTGCAATTTTTCTTAGCAACTCTCTGCAAAACATTGAGATTCTGAACAACACATGTTCCACAGCCCAAAACTTGTCCGGCAGGCTCTGCAAACCTGCGCAACTAGAACTAATTATATCCCAGCGCCCCGACATCCTGAAACAATGGGAGTACATCTTTGCCTATGTTCTTTCAGCTTAGGTACTCCCACTTGGGTCTTTCAACACGTGCATCGCACTGTACCAATTTCATCCGATTTCACTTAGAAGATCACCTAAACGGATCTGATTGATCCAGTGTGAACCATGCTGAAACCGGTGGAATGAGAAAACAGCGGAACAGGCAAATGAGCACACTTTGCAAGCAAATCATTACCTTCAAAGAAATGCAAGCCACAAAGAATGCAAAGCCTTGAGAATCCACATTTCAAGTGACTTGGAAAAACCGCCGGACCAAATCCAGAAAAACGCCGGAGTTGGAAGTCCGGCACCGGACCCTGTAAAAGTGCCGGACTGAAGATCTAGGTATATGGTGGGATGGGCCAGGCATGGTTTGTGGTTTTGGGGTGGGGGGGGAAGATTCGATGGTTTTGGGCATGTTTCGAGGTTTAAACATACTAGTTATACTAACTCATGCCCAGTTTGTTGTTTGTACTTGTACTGTTGGCGTTCTCATCCATAGGCCAAGTTGGCCTGACATCGTGCCAAGTTGGAGGAGCCAAATTTCACTCGACATGTCTGTCGGATGTTGCTGATGGTTCCAAGATGCTCAATGGCTCAAGTGGCCATTTCCACAACATTTTTCTCAAGTGGATGAACTAACTCCGTGCTTGTCAACCACACAATCCATTGTATATCTGTGTACCCTCCTGCCAAACCCCATGAGCATCAGTTTGGGACCCCAGTCCCACCTTCCCCTGTGGCTCGAATCGGGCCCTTCTCCCCTTCTCCGGGTCGTCCAACGGCGCCCCACTCGCCAGATCAACAGCAAGACCACGGAGATCTCCCGCGCCTGAGCGGACGACCAGGGACGATGCCGCTACAGAGGGATGGTGAGCCTACAGAGGTAGCCAGTGACCTGAACTAGGACCCGGAAAACCAGGAGTACCCAACTAGGATAGTCGAACGTTCGGGTTCTGACCCACCTCTGCTGGAGGGTGTTGCACAGCTGAACCTGCCGTATGGACCCGACCGTCGTCATGGCTTGCGGTGTTGCCTGGCCTGCTTGCTGCCTGGCCTGTGGCCGCCAAGGATGGAACTGTAGTAGGTTTGTGCCGTTTCTGCAGCATGCTTGTGATATAGCATGGTATAGCAGAAGTTCTGTGCTCACCCAAGCCAATTCTGAGGGCTAGACATATTGCATGCTTGTCTTGTCCATTCGTTTGAGACTACAGCCCGAGCGCACGGCGTGCGCCGGAGGCCATTGACATAACACCCACAGAGCACACAGATGGGTCCTGGTTTTCTGCAGTTTTGGGTGACACTAGATGCTCATCTCTCTTTGTTTGGGAGTTATAGGCGGCCATAGATCAAGCCAGGCTGCTTGTGCCAATATGCTAAGCTCTCATGGTTCCAGCTCTCTCAGGGAGCTACATGCACATCCAACTGTTTGCAGTCATTCGTGGAGGCTTGCCTGGGCTCATATGCCGCGTTTCGTTCCTAGCTTTGCCTAGTTGACTTTGAGATCAAATCCGACATAATCCGACCGGCTGAATTATGTAGCAGCCGGTTTCAGACTCGAACCCCGGTTTGATGTTTGCTCTAGTACTTCAGCATCTCAATCTCAAGCAAAAAGGGGAGACTCCCCAAACCCCCCCCTGGTTTCAATCTTCGTTTTACACCCCCTCGATGGATCTGAGGCGATGCCGGCAAGGCCAGCCGCCAGCTGGAGGAACGCCTGCAAGCGCGCCAGGAGCAGTGCAGTGCGCTGGAGGCACCGGATGTCTATCTCGCGCTCTCGAGCGAGTGTCGAGCGGAGTGGAGATGAAGAACGATTTTTGTAAGAGAGTCAAGTTTGCAGATGTCCTGGTAGAGTAGAAGTAGAGAATTTCTGACTCAAGAACTTGACGGATTCAAATATGTATATTCTGGCATTTAGGTCGCGGTAAGCGTCCAGCGTAAAGCTTATGCTGATCCATTGCAAGGTCATCCATGAAACATTTGACATCATTGGGTGGCCCTATGACTGCGTGTGAAAAAGGTGGGTACTGATGGGCACATCGGAACTCCAACTCGGGGAGGTATGGTTGCAGGAACTAACATAAAAGTGCAGAATCAGAAGCCCCTGTTTGTGGGAGGTATGGTTGTGGTCATCCAAGGGTCCATGCCATCCATGAAATCATGATCAGTCCGGGGAGTGTACAGTCTTCTTCCGTTCGTTGTTGAGATGCTCGAAGATTGAACTCCCAATCTGTTCCGATGATTAGGAAGGATGCCTTGTTACGGCCTTGTTCACCCCCCATCGCCCCCCCAGGCGGTCCACTTGCGGAAGCGGGCGTCCGAGTGGGTTCCCATTCGCTTCCTGGGGCGGTGGTCGTTCCCGGAAGCGGTTGGGGTCGTTCCTCCAGGCCACACTGCTGCGGCATGCCGAGACGCATCAAGCCTTAGAGGGCCAGGCGGACATGCGTCGGTCTGCATGAGACATGCTGGATGCATGAGACTTGCTTCCCTCAAAGTCCATCCAAGGACATCATGCCACACCCCTAAAGACCATTGGTTGATGGACTTTTCCGAGAACTTCTTCCAAATGCCAGGCTTCAAAACGCCAAGAGGTCTTTTCTTCCAGGACCCCTTTCGGATCCGCGGGGTGGTTGATGGACACCCCGAATCACCTCTTTTCGGGGCTATGACACCCGGAATCCGTGGTGCTGTGACCCATTAAGAGCCATGCAACTCGATTCCATGTCATGACCACCTTCTTCTTCAGCAGAGGGGTATCATGATAGCTGCTCGTCCAGACCCGATTTCCGCTTGGTCCATCCACCGAGGGTCCAGCTACCGAAGGCACCAAAAACACCGAAGGTCGTCACTCAGCGACCAAAGCGCGTCCAGCGGCTCAGCACCGTCTCCGGTTGGGCAGTATGCAAGCCGAAGACCCCACCAGCTTTAAGATCTGTGTCCCATTTTGGAAATACAAACTGACCATCCTTGGAGTGTTGCACATGGAGAAAGCAAGCCCTGTAAACCAGTGTCCCTGCAAAATCTCGAAATCGTTTCAATATGTTTCAATGATCTACTATGGGCTCAAGCCTCAAGCTGGTAGAAAAAGCCTTGGCAGGGGCCTCTCCTTTGCTCACTGGAATCTTAACAGACAAACTGCAAAGTACAACAAGAATCCCTCCCTACTAGTATCTTGGGTTGCTACACCCGCCGTCCCTTCTCGAATTCCGGCATTCCTGCGGCAGATGGTGCAGCAGAAGGAGCAGCTGGAGAGCCGGATTACCGGTGTGGACGCCTGCATGAAGAAGCAGGCGCGTCGCGCGAATGGCGCTGGTGTGTTTTATCTTCCGCACGTTCTGCGGCTGGCGAAGCCGGCGGGCCTCACACTTGCTTAAGACGTCCCCTAGGGCTCCAAGTACCTCCTCAGAAGGTATTTGGACCCTCTAAACCCTCCCCAAACACCTTCTAAGAAGGTACGACTGGAGCCCTAGGGGTCGTAAGACCTTAGCCCAACTCCAACACCGTGGTCAAAATCAGGTCCGATAGGTCCTCGGTCTGAGCTGCGTGTGACCCAGCTAGGCAGCTAGGCCATCAGCCGTGCTTGTGTCACAAGCCCCTGTCACAAAAAGTTCAGGCCAAGGGCGATGTAGTAATGTAGGCACAAACTACCCACAAACTGACAAACCTCGCTGGCAGAAGTTCGTGCGCATGACTCGCAGACCCGCTTCACCTGGTTCTCCCACCGGGGTCAGCCTGTTTCTCCACTCGAGCAGATGCCTCGGCGTGGGGCTTTGCACGCCTGGGCTTTCGGGTGGACGTCCAGTGACGGGTCGCAGCCTCGTATGAAGGTTACGGTTTCTTTAGAGCTTTGGAATTGTCTTATTTCATGAGGATGTGAGTGAAGAGCGTGGAGGCAGAAGATACAGAGATATATCACGGGTCGGGTAGTAGCAAAATGATTCGCTTGAATCATGAGCAGTGCAGAGCACTAAACACCAGGTTTTCGGCGCAAATCATGACTCCTTTGCTTGCGCAAAAGGTGTGTTGATGACATTTGATGACAAGGGTTTGGTTTGTGATGCCCTCGAAACGTTTGTGAAATAGTTAGAGATTGAAAGAAGTGATTCCCAGCAAGGGAACACGTTTCCAATTGTGTTGGTGTCAAGTGGCCATCAGCCAAGCTGCTTGAAGTGGTCGCATCGCATGCTATTCAGATCCCCCGAGACATCATGTGCCGAAATCGGGACATTACGTGACATCTGGTGACATGGTCCTGAAGGACTAAACAAAAGTAAGGTTACCAAGTCATTCTCGAAGCAGAAACGAATCCAGTTTCCACTCGTTTTTTGATATCAGGGTGCCTAGGTTATGTGATCGGTAGGGCACCTGGATTCTGATATAATTATAAAGGTGTTGCAGGGAAGACAGGATTTCATTGAAGTCATGTCAGCATTTTTGCTCACTGCAGCAAGTTTCAGCAAGCTCGGCTAGTAGGATGAAGTGAGAGATGGGAACGGCAGCGTTGTTCTTTCTCTGGAGCTGGAACGTTGCACTCACCCGCTCAGTTTGTCCTCTTTGGTCGATACCCCTAAGACCTCAAGGTTCCTGGAAGGGAATGACAGTAACTGGACTTTTACACAGAAAGATTGTAAGGATTTGTACGCACATTTCTTCAATCATTCAATCCACGCTGGCTGCAAATTGCTTGCCCAGATCTGTCCTTCCTTCTTCCACACCATTTGAGCTCGTTCTTCCAGAAGATTGATCGAAACGATCGGGCTTTATGATGCGGTTGCAACACTGGAAGGTTGCACGTGTTCCATCCTTTGGAAGGTCAATTCCTCTACGAGACTCTGCATAATGCATCATATAAATCAGCATGTAATGATATACAATATGTATAAAATGACCCTGATGTTTTCTTTTCCCAGGTCCAAGGCTTTTAGGAAGATTGAGTCAGTGGTGGAGTTTTATTAGAAACCCCTTCTGCCTAAAAAAACTTGGGCACAACTCAATTACTCAAATCTCACCTTGGCAAGAGAGGGTTTAATGTGTAGAATCCTGGGTGTCAACCTGAGAACTGTTGGTAGCAAGGGGTATAAGCAGGGGGTTGTGTTGTGTTTTGTGCTTTTGCATATGTCTTCCAGGATGGCTTATTTGATAATGGTTGTTGTGATGAGGGGTTGCATATCTGTTTTTCAACTCAGCTTGCTTTGGAAGTGCTAGCTACTAGCTTGTGATGAGGGCGACGAGCTCCACAAGAACACACAAGATCGCCTTGACCTTTTGGAGCAACAGCAAACGAAGGTCACCAAGGAGCCTCCCACCGGCGCGACTGCGCGAGAGCAGAGCACGAAGAGGATGGAGAGGTGGTCGTCGCCTCTTGTGAGGCGGTTTGCCTAGTGACTTAGTGTCTTCCAGGCTGGTGGCAAAAGAACACTGTCTTGAGGTGACGCCCTGTTTGAAATCCAGAATGGCCTTGTACAGCTCTGAAACACTTGCCCTCGGAATTTGGCTCCCAAAACGTGGTTTGATTTGGAGAGCCCTGATTGAATTTGCTAGCGCCAGGACACCCAAAAGCACCTGAATGCGATGGACCTCCGTGCCCAGACAGCATTGCGGTCTGGTGTGGTGGAGTCCGGGATATCCAGGATCCTCCATGAGTTCCTCCATGTTATATACTTTGAGGTTTGGTTGTTCGATTGGACCACCAGATCATGCGATTCGGATGCATTTGATACAGCTTGAAAGGCCGGCCAGATCTATATATATACATATAAGATACATCTCGGTTGAATTGTTTGCTCAACTGAAACAGGTCAAAAGAATGAACTCCAATGACACGGGTCTCGGCACTCTGAACCGCCTTCCCAAAACGGTTTCGATTTGCATGTTTTGCACCGTTGACCACTCCCCAGAACAGCCCATCAGTTCCTCTCGTTCCACAGCCTTATGTTGTCAGGCTTTAGTTGGGATGGATCCCGCTGACGGAATGTGCTGAAGTTGATGATTTATCACCAGAGCCATTTGACCTGGTGTTTCAAACGGCCAGATTCGTTTGCAGCCTTCCAAACGACCCGAGGCCTCGCCGCACTGCAAGGGGCGACGGGCGAGTCCGGCCCACTCAGACACTGGCGGCCAACAGGAGGAGGATAGAACTCCCGTGGGTTTCGGTTCACCTTTGCACCCTTTCTTCGTCGCAGTGAATCCTGAAGTAAGCCGATGGTTTTTTTCGTTTTTCAGCGGCGAACGGAATGGACCACAAAACCGCGGCTGCGGTTTTTGGGTTTTGGACAGACACCGCACAGAGGATCGATGTACCCTCCGTAGTGCACACCAGATTTACCTTGCCAGAGCAAGCGTTCTCATGGCACCAAGCCAGTGGGTAAGTAGGGAAGGGTCCCAGAAGTACCTTTTGCCTTGTTGTTGGTACTGCTGTGCAACTGATCCAAAGTACTGTATGTATCTGTGTATCATACCTTGCAGCTGCAGATGTCCCAGCCTAGGCTTTCGGAAAACCATGGTGCTTCGGGATTGAGGCTGAATCAATGGTGCGCCAGATGTCTAAGACCTGTTTCCGACCTCAGGTGCAAGCGCGACATCGGAAAGCTGAGGGATGAGGTGAATAGCCTCACCGTTGAGAGCTCAGAATCTGCATTCGCAGGGCTGGCGGCCGTGCCGCGTGGCGGGTACCGATTGGGAACCCAACAGTCTGGGGCTTCAATGCAAGACCTTGTTTCAGCAGCATAGCTTGTGCCGCAAGTCACTACCCCTGTACATTGGGACCAAGTAGACCAAGTGACTCAACAACATAAGGAAGTCAAGTTCCGGTATGGGGTACCCTGAAACTAGCCAGGGGCTTTGCAGTGACCATGATGCCTTTTCCACTCACTTTTGAGCCCGGGCATAGAACCCAGCAGCACTTTTGAAGGATCTTGAAGGTATGGTATGGCTGCGGATTTCAATCGCACATTTGAAGCAATGCATGTCCTGTGCTCGTCTCAGGGCTGCGAGTTCTGAAGATGGCCCCCTTGGGTCGTCGGTCGGACCGTTCTGGCGACTGCCCAGGTGAAGAGTGCCGCCCATGACGTCGACATCGCCCGGAACAGCGACGAGCTCCGGAAGCTCGAGCGTCACGCCAGCGGCAGATCGGAGGTCGAGGTTCGCAGCGCGGTTTCCACGTGGGTGCAGCATGGACGTTGAAAAAATATGAGGAAAAAATGAGCCCCCGTTGGTCACCCGATTTGTATATTTTGTATAATATGGATGGGCAAGACGCCTCCTTCCAATCAACACTGGCCCCACCTTTGACATTGCTGTTCGGGTTTCCACCTGGGCCCCGCTTTTGACTGACAAAAAAAACATTTGTTGCACGTGGTCAGACATAAAGAACCAAACTGTAAATCCATACATTACTAAACCCAATGGGATGCTTTGACTTGCATATGTCTTATTTACTAACCCAAAACCATCCCAATGCGTCGGTCCCTTTGCCAGTCCTGTTTGGGTTAGGGAGACCGCCGTCACCACAGCGCCTTCGGTGGGGCACAGCTTCTTCTCGAGTGGCAAGCGAGATGAGGTCAGCGAGTCGAAGGTGACCAGCGTCAGAAGCAGGAGACGTGTGGTGGATTGGTGTTTCTCCATGAAATCCAGCTGACACACTAGGGGTTCGGTAGTAGTTCATCCCAGTCTTTGACCGGAATGCGTCTTTTGGGGCCCAGGGAGAAACTTGGGGTAGGCCAGCAGTCTTGACCTAAGTGCCCTTCCATGATGGTTTACTATCCCAGATGAAACATGTACACAGTAATTATTACTAACTTGAACAGGCACCAGTAGCTTGGCTATTGCGTGGTGGCTCCTGCGGCGTGATGATGATGAGCCTTGTCGATCAGCGGATCCAACTTGGAGTATCTGTATTATTTGTCTAAAGTGGGGCGAGATCTATTGAATTGCCATCATTTATCAGAATTTATCATGGGATGCAACTGGGACACCAACACAATGGGATCTGAAAATTTAATTCTGCTTGGCTGCGTGGCTCCTGTCTTTTCGTTGGAGGGTGCTGCGGGCGGCCTCGGCTGCAGTTTCACCAGGAGTTCGATTCCATCTACGACGAGTTGGACCAGAAACCCGCTGCAATGAGCGCGAGAGCAGCGCAGCCGTCGAACCGATCGACCAAGCCATGTCTACTCATCCAACATGAGAAGCGTACATGGGTTGGTGGCCCTGCCTGGAAAAACCAGGAGGATCCATGCGCGTTTTGCTGCATCATTGTTGAACAAGGATTTGTTTTAATAAGGCTTTATAACTTTAAGGTCAGACTGATCATGAGTGCAATTGTCAACCGCTTGCATGTCAAGGATTCTCAAAGGATGTTGAGGAGTTCCGTCCTGGGTCCCTCCACTTTGTGTACTGGACATCGATTTGTCCGTCCTGCATGGGTGCTTGTTCATCGCGCTCCCAGCATCAAGTTCGAACGTACTCCCCCTCCAATCATGGAAGTAGACCACCCTTTGGAAGATTATTTTCCCTTTACCAAGAGGGGGGGTCAACTCCACTTCCATTGTTTGTTTGGGGGGTGAAATGAAACGGCTCCAAGAGGTGGTGAACTCCACTTCCATTGATTCTTTGGGGGTGAACCGAAAACGGCTCTTTTGCGCCTTGAGTCAAGGCACTGCTTTTTTTTGGCACCCGGGGAAGACACGGTTGTACGAGCGCCGCATGAAGGACCAACCGATTCGTTTGCTTTAGGACCATCCATCCAAAAAGAACGTGCAACTCATCGCACAGGGTCAGCAGTGTGGGCGACCAATTGTAGATGTGGTCGCCCACGCCAGTGGTGTCCTGGGCAGCCTCACCTGCAAAACGAATGATTTAAAGTTACAGGACCAGCTGCAGTATCCAAACATTCCAAAACTAGGTCATGTTGAATTTAAACAATTACTATTACGGTACATACAACTTCTAAATTACTTCAGTCATACAACGTACATCATGTTCAACAGAACTGGGTTTGTCCAAACTGGTTTAAACTAGTAACTAGTCTAAGGATGTGATGTGCCCGAGGAAGAAAGCAAAACACAAGTTAGATCAATTTAGGAGTTTCATGAATCTTCATGGGGTTTCTACCAAATTCAGGAGAACACAATGAAACAACGTATATATGAATCAAAGAACCGTATTTATTTCATGTGTGCTGATAGAAACTGTGTGATGAATTCACTTGCACCAGACTTGGCTTGCTTCGCGTGGTTTGTATCCGCAGCTGCATCAGCTGACCGCCTTTTGCCCCACACTCGCCTTCTGTAGGGCGCCGGTCCGCCACCCATGGGCGACCGTGGTGAGGTCCCAGTGGTGACGAAGCCCTCGGGGCAAACGGCCACCCGGCGAAAGGGGTGGGGTGGACCGCGTTCGGTTTTGGTGAAGAGGATGGACGTTCTCCTTCGGAAGTGGTGGTGAAACATCACCGTCCGACTGGTTGGACCGTAGGCGGTGGTTTTTCGTGGCAATGCGTCCATGAGGTTCACGCGAAGGGACACGAAGGGACAAACACATCACAAAGGAATAGGGTTAGGGAGAGAGATATGGAGGATGGCCCCCCTTGGGGTGCCTGCCATGCACTTCTAATTATGTGATGTGTTACTCACAGTGCATCTTTGGCGTTGGAATCCTGAGCTGAGTCTCCAAGTGCCATCATGATGGAAGGCATGCTCTCGATGAAGCCAAAACCGTTGGAAAAAGCACAGATAACAAACCGTGTCAGGGATACCCCATCACGCAGGTCATGTCACCGTCACCATGGCACAAGCTGGGTGTTTTTGTTGTTATTTGTCTCCCCATGTTTTTCCTTCAACATCATGTCATTGATACATGCACTTTATATAGGCTAGTAGGAGTCAACCTGGCTCGGCTGAACCATTCTGTTCATGAATTCTTGACTTGAGGTTCGCAGTTTCATTGCAGCCATCCACATAACCCCCAGACATTTTGGGTATGATTTGGATGTATTTGGCACGTGCAGCTACAATAATTATGTATACCCTGGAAGTCAAAGGCCTTTTTAAAAATGGTTGATCTGGTTTTGTACTGTAAAACACTTAGTAAAACAATGGTTGTTGTAGGTAAAGGTTATGAAACAGATGGTGGTTCGACTTCTAGGGTATATACATGCGTGGCGAATCCCATCAGCTTTCGGATGCTTTCGGGGTTTGGAGGGGCTTGGAGCCTGCATGTGATTATGGGTGGCGGAAGGTTATACTATGTTATGCTGGCTCAATTGGTGCTATGCCACATTATGTCATAAGATCCCCCACAGCGTCAAATGATTATGTGATTTGGCCGCCTCATTTACTTATAAGTTGATTATATACACGTTCATAATCGTGCATACATTTAATCAACCGGCATCACATGTGCAACATGTACACATAGTTTTTTGATTCTGACGGGACAGATCCTCAGACATCAATTCACGGACCTCCACCGAGACGGGTTGGCCCGGACGCTTCATCATGGACACTTCCAGGTGGTGTCTTCACCCAAGCGGATGCTGACGGATGCCCGGTGGGAAGTGATGAAGGTCTCCCTAACGAAGCAGACAAGAAAGCAACAACGGCTTGACATAGTCCCAAAACTCCCCCAAAAGCCCTGATCTAGATGTCTAGACGCTTTCCCTCTAGCTGCATGGTTTGCGCGGTTTTCAGGGTCCATGTGAGTTAGCAGGATGGACCCAAATCGAAACTGTCCAAAACAAACAGGTGCGCCGCGGCGCCAATGCAAATGGAAGGGATTCATGATCTGAAGGGCAACTGGCCATGTTTTGCTTGAACTTTTAAGTTTTGGAACTACAGACCAATGTGGAATTCCAAACTAAACAGTTTCACCAGCTGGTGACCGGCATGTTGAATTCTGATGACCAACTTGACGAGACGCAATGTAAACTAACGTGGCAACGGTGGAATCCAACGAGCTTGAGGATGTGAGCTTGAGCTTTGAAGAGATTGACCATCTTCAAACCACCTTAGCGGTGATCCAAAGCCGCAGCTGGGCAGCAACACGGACCTCGGAGCGCGACAGGTTTGGAACTCTCCCCCTGTGCAGCTTGCGAAGCTGGGTGATGACCTCACCTGCTTTCCAGCCAAATGAAACAGATACCAAACTTGCTCCCTACTGTAGGGCAAAGTCTTTGGCCCCCCCAAAAAGAACATATGGAGTTTCAAAGTAGATCGAAAATGGGTCGTTACACAAGTACCTGTTCTTATATGGTCGTGTCCCATTTTCTTATTTGAAGTCGGATCGAGGTAGTTGGGAATGTTCTTCTGCCCCTACAGGATGTTATCTCAAGTTATCTCCCTGATTTGTGACAACGGTTGATCTGCGGTGAAGGGGGAGTGGACATGAAATGCTGCTGTTCGCAGGTTGATGGGCCCATGAGGGAAGGATGGGACAAGATCGTTGACACAGGTGGTGACAAAACACAAGTTAGAGATTAGACGATATTAGAGGTTGCATAGGAGTAAAGCAGTCCCGCTGGCAAAGACAGTTCTGAGATGTTCTGAGCCATTCTGAGCCATTGCGTTCGATCAAGAACATCAAAATGATAAGATGTATCCCTAGGGCTCCAACCACCTCGTGAGAAGGTGGTTAGACCCCCCAAAACCCACCCCAGGTATGTTGCCATCGACAGTCGTGTTGCTCTTCCCCTCGACCACCGCGGACGACCCATTTTCGCCGCAACGAGGTCGCTACGTGACCTTCGACCGGAAGCCCTGGCTGGACGAAGAGGGCAACCAGATTTGGAGCGACGTGAGGATCCGCGTGGCCAAGGTGGGGTCAAATTTGGGCCAAGGTAGCAAAAGAGGAGCTCGGGATGGATCGTTTTTCTGGTTGAAGGGATTGGTGCCCCGATATTTCTTGGACTAAGCTGTTTTTTTTGCCTCTCAGCTGAAATCATTTTTGCAAGGGGTGGGTGGTTGGAGATGTTGGAGATGAGCGTTTGTGCAAGAGTGAGGAGAGTGAGTTCACAAGGTGGGATGACTGCCTTGGCCAAGGTTCAACGGTCGACAGAACAACGTGGACCCATCGTTCGCAAGACTTTAATGATGTCTAATTTAATGTGTGTGTGGTGGGGTCACAGGGGGAAATCCATGGGTTTGAGACGAACCAAAGCAACAGGAAATCAGGAACAACTCGCGCAAAACAGGCCTCGAACCAGGCAGGATCTCAATAGGTCGCATTGAAGAACCATGGAGTTCAAGTTCTAGCGATTTCTTGAAAAACGGCGCAAGTTCGCGGAAATCAGTGTTCGGTCGTCTGAAAGAGGCTCCAACCGAGTAGAAGATTCCCAGAAGACTAAAGAACATGTTTTGGCTCCAAATCCGGGGGTCACTCAGTTTCCTCTGGTAGGGAATGCTGAGACTGGGGGACGTTTTGCCTGCAGTCTGAATCCTGGACTTGGATGCCTTACTGACCGGCGGATGGAAGATGATGGAGCTGTGGCCCTCACTCTTTGACCTCATAACAATACAACTCCTTGACCTGAGTGTGTCCCAGTAAACCAGTATAACTTATACTGTAGTGGTTTCAGAGGTTCGATGGCACTGGCACCTTCAAGACGTCCTTAAAAGATGGGGGTCCACTACTTAACCCAACTTGGGGACTGTGCCATGTACTCTCAACCCACTAGAAGTGAAAAATGATGACAACTCTGGGGAAGGTTCTGTACTTTTCATCATCCACCATCATCATCCCCTGGGCCCTGGGCCCTGGAGGTTCGTTCCATTTCGGAGACCCGCCCCGTGGGTCCTTGAATCCCTACCTCGGTAGGTGGTTTTGTCCCAGCTCTTTGAGACGTGCATGGGTTTGATCATCATCTTCAACCTGGGCATCATCATCTACGAGGCCAGATGAGGGCTACCAGGACAAGTGCCCAATGCCCAATTGGCTGGGTCTGTGAGTTCGGAGTCTGAATCTCGAGAAGTGACATGAGCAAAAGGATTAGAAACGCTGCATATGTTCCATTTGCAAAGGCACCCATGGCCCCTGTTGGCCGAAAGTATTCCGCCAAACATCTATGGTGCAGGAAAACTTCCAGCTTCTTCAAGTGACCTTTGTGGAGTCCCCCAA